AGTTTTTCGACCTTATTCTAATTCATAAATTCCGGAGCTTCTTATCATGTATCCGAAGAGTAGTTCTGCAAATCGCCTCTCTTAAGCCGTCAGCCATGTCTTGTAACTTAATGAAATCCACATAATCTAATAGTTCAGAGAAAGATTGTCTAAGCTTAGTTTGGGTTCTAATTAGATCGTACAGTTTGGTAATGCTTTCCTTGAGCCTAGTTTTAACTAAACCACACGATACTTGATCAAGTTCTCTATTTGTGGATGTTGGTAGATCATAACGTCTACCAAGTAAACAACACCTAGGAAAAACATTATGATAAATAAACATTTTTAAAAATTTAATTCTATTAACTCTGATGTAGTCCATCATATGATGGACGAAAGCTCAGCATGTTTTCACTTAAAACTAGGGAGGAAGTCTTGTGGAGCTTCTTATCATGTATCCGACGCGTAGTTCTGTCATTCGTCTCTCCTAACCCTTCAGCCATGCCTTGTTACTTAATGAAATCCAAATCCAATATTTCAAAAAGGGATTGCCTAAGCTTAGTTTTGGTTCTAATCAGTTCGTGTAGTCTGCTAATGCTTTCCTTAAGCCTAGTTTTAACCAAACAACACGATACTTGATTAAGCTCTCTATTGGTGGATGTCAGTAAATCCATCCAAAATAAGGTGACTGCTCAGTGATGGTTCTTACTTCATTCACACTTGTCCAACATGTTAGAATAAGCTCAGCAACCAAATCAGACGTATGACATTACGCAGCCCCAGTCATGCATTCCTTTGGGGGTTAAACATCAATGAACCCAGAATGAGAGGTTAGGACAAGTGGTTTCGTAACTTGATTTACATTCCTGTTTACAGACTTACGCAGTCAGGGCTTTCACTTGGTCCATTAAGCCTTAATAACCAGAGCCTGACATTAACCTTCTGATAACTCTGATTTAGGACCCGTATTGCGTATAGGAGCTAACACACACACATACACACACGCACACACTCGAGCAAAAGCAGTAGGACCAGTATGAAAGATAATTAGCCAAACCACTCTATACCGATCTAGGTTTTTAATTTTCTTTTGGCTCAATTGAGTCTATATAATAAGTAAGATGGAGCCAGATAATCTTCTTGCCCTAGGATTAACGTGAGACTTTTACAAGAATGACACACAGCTCTGGTGATGGACGAAAGTTCAGCTCCGATGATGTTCATCATATGATGGATAAAAGCTCCGCCCGTTTTCACCCGAAACAAGGGAGGAGGCCTCGTGGACTGCGTCAACTTGAACGTCGTATTAAAGACAAACGGCTGCAGTTCAACGGGATTCATTCGTCCTCTTCTGGTGAGATCGAGCAACGAATCTCTTCTTTATGCACTTTCGTACGAAAGGAAAGTCCTTCCAACAATGTTATCTCAGAAGATTCGTCGAAACCCAGTTTATCTTTATCAATAAACTCAAATGCAGTAATTTTCAAGCTCGTTGAAACTTATGTAAATGACAATATTACTTTCATTTTTTTGCCAGTAACCTGCACCATTCTCATAACGTGACGCGTATTTATGCACATAGCTACGCGTATTACTACGTTAGTGATAAGTAACAACTAATGTATAAGATAGTTGAAAATGGAAGTAATCGTATGAACAGTCGATTGATAGGCTTAATATATAAAAGTCCACGATTCTATAGGGTCTTATCTCAGATACGATGGGCAGGGCGTATAGAAGACATAATGTATATCTCTTTGGTCGAAACTCTCTTTAATCTCCTCATATATTCATTAAAAGTTCAGGGAGACTTCGAAAAAAGTATGCTGGCTAAATAATTTTTGTTTCAGCCAAACTATCTTTTATGTTGAAGATATGAGGACCAAGGTGGTGTGGCCCTTGGTATGGTCGCAGTCTCCTTTCGATTTATAGAAGTTGGTTGACCACGCTGTCGCAACTTGGTCTTGTTGTCCGGGAGACTTAGTATAGCGCACCTAGCCCGAAATCGTTTGCCATCGTTGTTGTCATAATTCCCAGCATCAGATAGTGGGCTTGGTACATTCTCAAAACGTTTCGCGGGCATCATAAGTGAGTGCTGCCATTCTCAGCACCAAACCAATTTTTCTGCCTGTTTCGCCAATATATTTCTGCTTGCAGGCGCCCTATGATGTACAGTAAACTCGTGAACGATCCAATTCGTCTACCCTTTCATGTTGCGTTCGTAGATTTGTGAAAAGTGTTGACGCAACATGAAAGGATAGACAAATTGGAGGGTTTACGGGTTTACTGTACATCGTGCGGCGCCTGCGAACAGTAATATGTTGGCGAAACAGAGGAAAAATTGGCCTGGTTCCGAGAATGGCAGTACTCATTGCTGATGCCGACTACGATGCTGGCGAAACGTTTAAAAATGTACCAAGCCCACTGTCTGATGCTGGGAATCAGGACAACTACTATGGCAGACGACTTCGGACTAGGTGCGTTCTACTAAGTCGCCCTGACAACAAAACCAAGTTACGACAACGAGGTCAACCCACTTCCTTAATTGTTGAGCTTACTTCCATTTCGAGTGAAAGTGTTTGGCGAAGAGATTCGAATGTCGGTTTCATCAGAAGACGACGGCGGATTTCTCTTAACCAGCTGTCAATTGGCTTTCCTGGAAGATTCATGCTGACGCTGTTTCCGAGGTAATCTCCTTCGATTTCGGTGAAAAGTTGCTAAGCTTTCGTCCGTCATATGACGGACATCATCAGAGCTAGGCAACATCGTCACAACAAAATTCAAGCTAACGAGTCAAGAAATCTATCACCAGCAAATCCCTAAAAAGTCGTATATATACTTTACATTTTTATACAATTTTAACTTGATCAAAAAGACCAGATGTAGAGTATATATACCACTTTTAGGGATTTGCCGGTGAGTCTTCTTGACTCGTTGTTGTGACGATGATACCTTGCTCTAAGTGCATTCTATTAAGTCTCCCGCACAACCAGACCAAGTTACGACAGCGTGGTCAACCCACTCCTATCTTTTATGTTGTTAAATTGGACAATAAAAACGGTAAGGTAGATATAACAATGGTAGCTATGATATAAAAGCCACTTACCGAAAAGCAGCCTCGGTTTCTCTGTTGTCATAACAGCAATAGTCGCAAACCTGTTCGATACTATCTGAGACAGATTCTGCCAGTCTTCGTAAGCCATAAATGAAAGGATTTTGCTGCAAATCCTTTACATGCAGATCCTTAAATGAGAATTCGGATGCCTCATCATCTACTAGGGCCTTGGGACCATTAAAGGTGGCATTGTTCAACAAGGCCTCATTTTCTTCTAGCGGCCCATACTGAGATGGACATTCAGAGGTCTCTTCAGGTAAGTTTTCACATTGCGAGTCAGCATGAATTTCATCGCCCAATTCATTTTGTTTTCCCGAAACAGTTACTTGCTGCGCAAGTTCTTTTGACTCAGTCATCACAGATGAAAGTCCAAAGGCATCATTTTGCCCCAAGAATTCCTTAAAGAGAATATTTGCATGATCTCGGCATTTTTTGCACTGGTCGGGGACTTGGCAATTGAAACAGATGGCATGCAAGCAGGGAAGTAGCTGATAAAGGAATGGAAACGCAAAAAAAGGTTGATTTATTTTGAAAAATTGAGATTATGAGAATATCCACAATAAATTAATGTTGAAGTACCATACATTTCGTTTAAAAAGACTAGTAAAAGGGGTTTGTGATTTGGCCTCACAGAAATTCGAAGGAGGGCCTGAGAGAAATGATTGTGTATTTATGACAAGCTCAAGCCGAGTAAAATCTGCCTCCAGAAAGATAAGGAACAATTCTACGAGACAATAAGGGGATCCGGATTGGAGGCCCGAGTCGGATCAGCCGATCGAAAGTGAGGGGTCGTGGTGAATATTACGGGTGTGATGAGGCCACATTAGATTTGTCACAAAAGGGCACACATTTTGACGAGTGGAATGTAATATGAGAGGTATTCACCATATTTCGTTTAAGGTGATGAAGGACTGGTAGAAGAATTTTCCCACAATGATATGGGTAGAGCTGTCGTTCCCATTCAATTTCACAAATGCTTGCTTCCCTAAAAGTTGTTCTCATCTCGGCTGAAGTGGACTACAGTTTAGACCTTGCATCGGTCTTATCAACACCCCCAGCGGGAGTCGAACCGTGACAGTGCAGAATGTGAGCTTGACACTTCAGCCACTCGACCACATTTCCACGAGTGCCCTTGGGTCACAGGTCATAAGTGAATTTTAAGGAAGGTCAGGCCTTTTGATGTATATCATATTCTTTGGTGGGATTGCCGATGAAGCAAACATATATTTGCTATAACAATTGACTACGTTACTTATTTTCGTATTCGAGTAGTGTTTCGAGTCTTAGAGGATTTCCTTCCTTGTGTATCTTCGGTAGTCCGTAGGCTGTCGGTGATCTTACGTCATTTTTGATTAAACATTTCATCATCCATCTGTCGATTTCCCCATTTGTATGCATTTCCTTGAGCATATTTTTCAGTCTCCCTTTGATCTTCGTGGTTGGATTCTTCCTTAGTATGTGATAAGTGTTTCGATCGCCAGGGATAATTTCCATTTTCTCCGTGTATTGTTTCTTGTCCATTACGACCGTCGCTCTCTCTTAACTGCTTGAAGAACTATTTGATCATTCATTTGTAATTTTTTTCGAATACCAGCCAATCTGCTCCATTTTATCAGTTCTTGATGTGTGATGTGCCTTGTATCTTGTGGATATTTATCCGTTATGTTGACAACTTCCACCAGGATATCACTAAAAACATTTCCTTCATTACCTGGTGAAAAATGTAAACCCTTCTTTAAGAGATCAGTGGTTTCAGAATCAATATGGATTTAAGATAGGTTTACTACCTTAGTCCTATCGTCATCTATTCCAGTTGATGCCTTCAATATAGAACCATCACAAGTTGCCCGGGTTGGCTTGATCTTGCGTTGTCTTCTTATCCCATAGCTAAGCAACTTCTTGTCATGTCGCTTATCTATCAGATCCCGGACCCTCTGTGTCTTCTGGTCAGTCATGCTCTGGAGATTTTGAAAATCATCCAAAGCGAGAACCCTACCTAAATACTTCCTTAACTTAAATAGCTTACGCCTCTCGGTCACGTAACTTTTCTCTAATTTCTGCATGTAAGCAAATGTTGTGGTTCAACATCGAATTAAATCAAAATAAGCTGTACCACAACATTTGTGGGTTGACACACAAGGGCACACACTAGGGCATGGCAAATCATAGGATAGAGACGGTGGGGGCCGGAGCTAGTTGGCTGACGGTAGGTCTGTTGTACCATAGACGTGGTACATGCAGCAAAGGGGTGACCATGACACTGAGAGGCTTGCGCTTCGAATTAGTCACCCAGACGCAGGGGAGGGCGAATATCGCTTCTGGTAGGACAGATGTGGTGACAA